TGCGTGTCCACCCCATGGCTAGGGCTGCACGGGAAGGGAGGCAGTCAGTGTGGTTTGCCTCTCTCTTTGTTACCAGGCCAGGGCTTTGCTTTTGTTTGTTTTTCGGAAACACTTTAAAGCACATCTGAAGGTAGAGCTCCTTTTCCTGGAGGGAATGAGGGTGCTATTAGGAGGCCTGGAGATACAGGAATAGACCATCTCTGGGAGGGGCCCAGAAGGTAGGAAGAAAATGAGACAAAGCAAAAATAACACTGTTTAGCTGTTAGCTAGACCATGCTATATGTCCAGCATTGCAGTTGTACCTTTATGTCGGAATCGTTTGGTAAAGCTGCTGAGAAATAAACAAAAACAGGAAACAAACACCCCCCTCCCCCATCTCCCCATGGCCTCTGACAGGCATATCCAGTTAAAACCCACGGATAAATGCCACCTCAGTAACATTTCACCGATGCTCTTGGAGCTTAGAATAGCCAGTGTCCAGAGAAGGAAACGTGCCCAAGGCTGTACTGTAGGTGCCAGAGGCTGCCGTCCGTCATGCCTCACTCAGGCTGCCCACCCTCTGAAGGCTGTCTGCAGGGGTGGAGGGCCGGTGTGGATGAGGGCCCAGCACAGCCCTGTCCCGTGGGCGGGTCTGAGCACAGGTGTGAGTGGCAGCAGACATGCCTGTGTGAGGAGGAGGCCGCAGGCTCAGGGATCAGCGTGTGCTGAGGAGGCAGCATGATGAGCAGACCGCTGGGCTCTAGCGGTGTGACCTTGGCGACTGAGTCACTGAGCTCTCTGAGCCTCCGTTTCCTCAGCTAGAAAACGGGTTGGATGAGCATCTAGCCCCTAGGGCTGTGCTGACGGTCAGATGAGATTGTCCCAGCGCAAGACTCTGACCCACTGTTAAGGGCTCAGACAAGGTGATTTCTCTTCCCCACCGTCCTTCCATTGGGTTTTTTCCCTGTGCCACTGTGAACTCAGTGAAAATCAGCTCCAGTTTCCTTTTTTCTTCTTCCCCTTCCCCGATTCTCATGGCAGGGGATCCGCATATGAGGCCGGGTTCCTAGCTGCGGCCCACGGGACTGGGCTGTTCACTTTTTTGGTTCCAGCACCTTCTTCCCCTAGAAAGGGCACTGGTCCAGGGGCTTGCAGCGACCTCCCTTCGCTTCGGCTGGTGGAGCTCCTCGCCGACGTGTTTGCTCCTCCCCGGCTGCCTGGTCTCACTGAGGTGCGGCGGGCACCCTTTCCTGGGGGGTTCAGCGATGATAAAGCATCCGATCACCAAGTGCTGCTGCTGGTTGGGACTCTTGGTTTCCAGTGACAGGAACCCAACTTGAATGAGCTTAAGCAAAAATGGGACACATGGGATGTTCTAAGGGCGGCTCAGAGACTCAAAGGAGGCGTCCCAAGAAGAGGACAGGTGACCTCAGCCTCCCTGGACAGCGCCCCCTGCTCAGTGGCCCCTGGCTGCAGACAGCTTCCAGCGGACCCGCTCAGCCCCACCCTTCCCAAGAGGGCTAGGCCCTCCCTAGGACGTTTCGTGTTGGAGTTTCTCCCAGCTTGGAGCATGGGCACAGCCTTCATCCCCGGGAATGTGGCCAAAGAGGAAAGATACACTGACGAGCCCCATGCCCACCTTTCTGTCAGAAGTAGTAGAAGGGGGGAAATCTGTTATCAGAACATAGGGAGAAGGATACTAGTACTATTAATAAGTAAGAATAACCCTCTTTTATTGACTGCTTACCTATATAATTCATTTTATCTGCACAATCAACCCCATTTGACATATCAGGAAGAGGAGGCCCAGAGAGGTTAAGCAACTTGCCCAAGGCCACGTAACTGGCTCATGGGAGAGCTGGAATTGAACCCAAGTAGAGGACTCCAGATGTGTTCTTAACCACCCACTATGCTGCTGACAATAATAGCAGATGTCAGCTGCAAGCACTTATCTGAACTCCACGCTGGGCTGTGTCCTTTACAGCAGAATCTCCTTTCATGTTCAGAACTGACTATGGAGTAGGCACTAACATTATCCCTACTTTTTAAATTTAAAACATTTTTTTTCTTTATTGATTTTAGAGAGGAAGGGAGAGGGAGAGAGAGATAGAAACGTTGATGAGAGAGAACATTGATTGGCTGCCTCCTGCATGCCCCCCACTGGGAATCGGGCCCACCACATGGGCATGTGTCCTGATGGGGAATCAAACCGGCAACCTTTTGGTGCATGGGTCGACGCTCAACCGCTGAGCCACACCAGCTGGGCTACCCCTACTTTTTAATAAGACATTGAGGCTCAGGTAGGTTATGTGACTTGCCCAGGAGTCACCTGACTCATTCAAAGCGACGAGCTGGGATAGGAAGCCAGATTTGCCTGATCCCAGGGCCTGAGCTCAGGGCCACTTCAGTGGGTAGCTTTTGCATTCAGACACTTCTCTTGCTCTATCAGAAGCTTCCCTGGTGACTGGGACGAAGAGCAGACCAGGATCCACATCTGAGCCTTCATCTTCTGTCTGGGGGTCTGGAATGTGAAGACCCTGCTGGGTGCACATGCCTGGGCATGTGGCTCTGAGCTGGTCTTGGTGTTTCACACTAACTCACACCAAAGGGTCCTGTATAAGCCTTCAGTGCATCTAAGCTCTGGATTTCTTCATTTCTCCATTCACCAAACATTGAAGGGTGCCCAGCAGGTGCCAGGCCCTCCTCTAAGTGCTTGGGGTCCCTTAGTGAAGACCTCTCCTCTATGGAGGTAGGCTTGGGGAGCAGCAGAGAGGAAGGTCCCTGAATTGCTCTTATGTTCCTCGAGATCCAGGAGGCCTTTCAAGCTCACAGGAAGCCTTCCCTACACTACCCAAGTCAGGCCACAGGGCCTGGAGACCTCATGCTCCTTTGCTTGGGAGTGGCATGGTGGCAAGTCCAACAGGAGACTTGTTTCTTCACTCTGATTGGTTACAAAGGGAAACATGTGTCAGGGAGTGAGTATGGGCATGGACTCAGACCAGCTCAGCTGTGAGTCCCAGGTTGCTATGGTCAGTGCAGATAAGGAGGCACTTGGCTGTACCATGCCTCAGTTTCCCCCTCTGTGACATGCCTGTACTACCTGACTCATTGGGTTGCTGGGAGGATCTTCTGAGATAGCAAATGCTAGCTACCCAGCGTGATGCCTGCACAAGGATTAATCCCTCTCCTTCCTTTCAAGGACTGACTCGTTTTATAGATGTCTCTCAAAGTCAGGGCCCACAGAGGGCTCGGCTCGAAGGCCTCCTTGGTGAGGAAATCACCAATTAGGTCAAGCCTCTCATTTTACAGATGAGGAAACAGGCTCCTCTAGGGGAGGGATGGTGCTGGGCCCTAGGACCTTCTGGTTTACTGGAATTAAAGGGAGCTCAAAGCATGTTCGGCTGTTGGTCAGACAGAGGGTACGAGTGGGTACTTGGAGTGGCTACATCACAGGCTGCCTAGGCCTGGGTGGTGTGGGAATCTGACTGGTGGTCAGCCCTTGTAGGATGGTCCAGACGGGCCTACTGCATCCACCATGCAGACAACCCAAGCAGAACCTCAGAGAGCCCCCTTCCCTGCCGCTGGTCTCAGCATCGTCCCTGGGTGGGCAGGGGCATCTGTTCCACCCCGGGGAGATGGGGGGCGTGGGGAGGTCCCTGGTTCCCACACCTGGGAAGACCAGTGGTAGAAATCTTTGCCAGGATGTCCAGCTCCCCCACCCCCTGCGCCCAGAAACTTCCCTTGAGAAGCAGGGGCCAGATATGTGGAGCTTCTCTGACTGCTGGTTCCAGATGACTACCCGGAGCCTGCAGCTCAGGCGATAGAATGTGGCCGAGGCGGGCCAGCCTGTTTGTAGGCTGCCACGGGCTGAGGGGGTGTGGCTTGGTAATGATGACGATGACAGAGACGATGGCAGCTTCTGCCCGGGTGGCTGCCCTCGAAGCCTGCCAGGCCTCTCGAGGGTGTGGGCCCATTACAGCTGCACTAGCACACCTGTCCCCCGGTGGTAGGGCAGACCATGAGCCATGAGCAGCGGTCAGCCAGGCCAAGGGGCCTTCTGCTCGCCAAGCCCCTGCTCCCGTCTGTGAGGAGCCACCGGACACAGCAAGTCTAGTCTCTGCCAGTGCTCGCTCCATGCTTGGCCGGCGCTCAGGAAATAGCAGCCCCTCTCCCGTGAACAGCCCGAGAATTCTGAACAGCGAGTCCCAACCCCGGGCTCTAGAGGCAGATCTCTGTGTATCAGAGAGAACACTCGGTGTTTTCCGTGGGCTCGCAGGCCTGCTGCCTTGCTGAACAGGAGCGCGCCGGGGGAGCGTGGGTACCGGCTCCTGCGCGTCTCAAATTGCGCGTCCGCGTTCGCGCTTGTCTTCCGGCAGCTGCCTCTTTTCACAATTTTAAAATTATGACAGTAAATCTTGAGAAATGCCTGGAACTCTGGGCTTCATTTTCCAAGCAGGTGCAGAGGCATCTTCTACAGAAGCAGCAGCTGTAACCAAATCGTTTGGGTGGTCTTCGGAAGCCAAAGTAATAATTTGTTTAGGAAACAGCCACGATCAGATGGCCCACTTATATAACTTCCTAGTTCATTTAGCGTTTTGGACCTGTCCACCTTAGGCAGGTGACACATTTCTCATTGGTGACTTGTTAGGAGGTGTTTACATCGGCTTGATCTACTTTTATGTATGTCCTAAGCTTAGAAATTCTTGCATTCTCTGTTTCCACTAAAGTGCCCAATAAAGAGTTTTTTCCGGACCCATCTTACCTTCTCGGCAAGCCTTGTGTAGACGTGACAGCCCTTAGGTGCCCAGACGGTGGCAGACAACAAAATGTGACCGGCTCACAGTTCCTGTCTTCGCCTGCAATGCTGGGAGCACTCAGAGCAATTGTCTGCGGTTCCTCCTGTGGGGTGAAGTGACACTAAGGGGCCAAGTGCACATGGATGTGGGCCTTCCTGGCGGGGAGAAGATAGGAGGCTGTAAGGCAGGATAAGTAACCTTCATTACTGGGCTCTTGTTTTAAAGGAACATGGCAATCTGTGCGGGGCTCGTCCTGGAAGGAGGCAACTTTGGTCACTGCGATGCCTGAGACTCAAGTGAGTAAGTCACAGTGCTGGATCTCTGTTCCTGAGGCACTGAGCAGCTCTTGGGGGGCTGGCTCCAGGCTTTGGACAGCGTGGGGGTGCTTGCACTCCTCCTCCAAGCCCAAGTCAATGTGAGCCCGTTTGGAGAAACAATGGCTAGTGAAAGCTGTCTTTGCCTACAGCCTGTGCACAGCCCTCCAGCCTTGTGGGGGGCGGGGAGGTGGGGGCAGAGACTGGGCTGTGTTTGGGGACATGAAAGACCTGTGTAACTCAGTGGTCTTTGGGTGGGTGGGATCTCTGCCCCTCTCTCCCAAAGTAAGAGCAGCAACCCAGCGTTCCTGGCCCTGGCCCTGGCCCAGCTCTGAAAGTGCCGCCGTCTCCTGCTGGCCCCGCTGGTGCCGAGGCAGGAATCTGACTGGGCAGCTTCTGTCGGGAGTGCCTTCCGAGCACTGTCGACCATTTGTCTAAGATTTGAAAATGGGATTGCAGCATCGTCCTCGGCTTGGGTTTCATTCTAAGGAGAACACACCTGTTTACATCCTCATGAAGGTTCAGCAGGTCCTTGGAGGCTTCCGGTCTAGAAGGCTAAGGTGTAGGCAGAAATCAATAATGACATGTTTCGCAGTCACCCTCACGGGCTGTTATCGGAAGAGCCGCTCTCTGTTCTCTCCCGCTCCACTCTGTCCTCTGCTCTGTCCTTCTCCGAAGACCTGTCTGACCAACACTCTGCGGTTGGCCTTCAAAGCTCCTCCTATCAGACCCCAGCCTCATTTTCCAGCCGTGCTGTGTGCCTCCCCTCTTTGTCTGCCTCCTGGGGCAGACGTCTGCTTCTGGGACATGCTGTTCCCTCTGAGAAGCGCCCCTCACCCCCTTGGGCAAAGCTGGTGCCCTGCCGCCTCTGCGCGCTCAGCTCTGGGTTCAGATTCAGGCACATCACTGGCCGAGGTAGGGTGTGTTCACGTGTCCATCGCACCCCCAGCTGTGAGCGCCTTGAGGACAGACACCTGTCCTCCAACCTTCCTGTCTCCGCTGAGCAGCCCCATCCCCGTGGTACAGTCCTGGGCACGTGAGGGGGGTGACAGCTGTTGGTTGACTCACAGAGTTCAAAGCCCGAGGTTTCTTCAGGGCTTATGGCTGACCAAGTTCTAGCTCAGTGTCTCATGGGAGCCCCGCACCCTGGGAGGGGTAGTCCCATCATCCTCATTTATTTTATAGACACGGAGACTGAGATCTGGGCAGTCAGCTAACTTCCCCAGGCTGTCCCCTAATAAGGACCAGGACCCACTTCTCCTGTGGTCCAGGCTGGTCTGGTTTCTGTAATGCCACATTTTAATTAGAGAGAACCCAAGAGATAATTTAGAGCAAACCCTTCATTACTGGATAGGGAAACTGAGACCTGGCCTGAAGAGACTTTCTCAAGATTACATAACCAGCCAGTGCCGCATGGAGAATCGGAACACAGGCTCTGGACTTCTAGTCCAGCGTTCTGTCCACTTCTGCCTCCTGCTGTGGACAGCCATCAGAGAACATTTGGGGACCATCATTCTGCATTGACAGGAGGGGGAGAACTTAATGAGTGTCCGAGTTCGTGGGAATGTAGAAATGCACGGCACTGGCCCCACCCCAGGAGCTTCCTTGGAGCTGTGAGACAAGGACGGATCTCCGTGGAGGGGGGAGGACAGGAGAGTGTGAGGGGAAATCCTTAGGGCCCAACCCAAGAGGCTGGAGCCTGGTGGGGGCCCCGGGGAGGGCAGCAGGTGGGCATGTCTGGGCAGGCAGAGGCTGGCCTGGTGGGCACTGAGGATCCATGGGGCTGAGGAGTCCATGCTGAGAATCCTGATCAGCAGAATGAGAAGGGTTGACTGGACCAAAGCTGCTTTAGTAACTGGTTTTCAGTGTCTGAGCAAAAAGGCCCTGCTTAGCCAGTCTGCTATGGCCTGAGAATCCCTCCTGTCTCCTGGAGAAACAATGTAGAGTCAGTCTGTCCACAGAGGAGGGTCTGGCAGTGGACATGAATCCCATCCTGGTCGGAAATGTGCATGGGGAGGGAAATGGTCAGTTTCTAGCTGGCTTATCCCTGTTGTGCCTAAGTGAATTTTTGTTTTGTTGTTTCTGATTGACCACACTTCCAGTTGGTCTTCCGCCCCCCCTTTGAATCTTGGGGCTCTCCTGGGTCATTTACTCAGTCCAGGCTTGATCCAGGGCCAGGTAGGTGCTGGCTACCCTTTCCATTTTTATTCTTCCCCTTCTCGGGCGCACAGACTGAGGGGCTGGGACTGACACAGGCTTCATCCCCACAGGCAGGGTGAAACATACAATTTGCCCAAATTACAGAGAATCTGATGTTTCCCTAATAGGTACCTTGGATTATTTTCCAAAACATGATGAGGTTGTAAACGTCTAAACTTCTAGGGCAGGGAAAGTGTGCGGTGTTATATCATTATTGTTTACAATTTACATATATAAAGATCATTGCATCTTATAATGAGGCACGTAGATTTACTCCCATTTCACAGATGAGAAATTCGACTTAGTCTGTAACCTGCCAGGGTAAGGTCGCTGCCTCAGGGCTGAGATGGGACATAGCTCAGGCCTCCTGTTTATAAACTCAGTGTTCTTTCTTCTTGACGATGCTCCAACCGTATGCAAATCCCTGGAGGGTGTAGAATATAAGACGAGCTCAATAAATATTTGTTGAATGAGTGAACCTTGGCTATTTTATTTTCCTTTGTTTTGACACACTTAACCATAGATGGATCCTCTTTGGCGGCAAGGGAACACTACTCTGTGAAGTATTTGAGTTTCTTGCCACGATAAGGAATGGGTGAGTTCTCTGCTCACCCAGCCTCACCTCCCGGAACTGGGTCATGCACACTAAATAATTAATTCCTTGAATCTTTTACTCAGAGCTTTGTGTTGCTGATGCTGAGATGAACCTCCAGCATTGATCTTTGAAAGGTCCCTGGCAGAGGCAGATCCTATTGCTTGTTGTCATAAACCTTCAGACAACCCAGCTAACTGCCCACGGTGGATACTCTCGGCCTAATCAGGTCAGACGTCCAGTGGGTTAACTTGATCCCCTCCGGCCACTCTTCCCCACCAGCCCCTTCCAGCTGCAGGAAGAGGCTCCTGTGGGTTATCCCAGACGCTTAGGGTTTTGTAGCGACAAGAAGACCTGCCTCTTCCTTCTCACTGATCTCTGAACTCCCCAAGATTTTGTGGTGAGGGCTGGAGAAAGAACGAGGGGACCATGCCAGGTGGGGAAGAAATGCATGGGGTCGGGGAGGCAGTTATCAAAGTGTCAGCTGGGCCTGCTCTTTCCCTGAGTGACACTTGGGTCATGTTGCTTAGTCTGCAGGGGATCCAGCTGGCCTCATTAGAGCAACCTAATTAGATTCTTGAGGTCAACAGGAGTAGAGTGGAAAAAAGTCGGCTGAGACCAGAGGCCCATGTTCTTGTGTTGGTTGTTCACAGCTCGGCTGCATGGCTTTGGGCCAGTCACAAGAATTTTACCTGCCCTCAGATTTCTTAGTAAGGAAATAATGGAGTGGGGTGTGTAGAGGGTTATGGCATCTTCAAGGAGCCTCTTAGACTTTTGTGCTTGTCTGAGCCCATTCTGTGTGTCCTCATGATGAGTTCGCTCTTCTCCTCCTAGTCTCCTCCTCCTCCTGGGGCCTGAGCTTGCTTCTGTGAGCACTTTCCTCCTGCTGTGTGGCTCTGCCACTCTGCCCGCCCCACCCTCAGAGAGGCCAGCACACAGATAAGAACTGCCTTTGCCACCCTCTCTCCGCCAAGCAGCCTGGGGAAAGATCTGGGGGCCTGTGAGGGTGGGTGGGGGTGGGAGGGGAGTGGGACAAGTCCTGGAGTGGAAAGAAGCCAGCCCAGGTGATTAGGGATCATTGGTATTGACGTGTGAGTGTCCAAATCTGTAGAGAATGATTATAAAAATATATTGGAGCCAAACAGAGGACATGTCTGGAAGCAAGAGCTCGATAGACTGATATAATACTTCCAGGAAACGACAGTCTGCAGTTTCTTTTATGGTTTGAAATCAAGGAGGGAACCTAAGCAAGATTATATAGGGGTGGGAGAAAGCAAGGAGGGGGAGGGAGTTGGGTTACAGGATATTTAAGCAAGATTACATGTACCCAGCCAGTGTGGCTCAGTGGTTGAGCACTGACCCATGCACTAAGAGGCTGCCAGTTCGATTCCTAGTCAGGGCACATGCCCAGGTTGTGGGCCCGATACCCAGTGAGGGGCATGCAGGAGGCGGCCAGTCAATGTTCTCTCCCATCAATGTTTCTAACTATCTCTCCCTTTCCCTTTCTCTCTCTCTAAATATCAATTTTTTTAAAAAGGAGTAGCAATTATTAAAAAAAAAAAAAAAAGAAAAAGAAAGAAAGATTACGTGCTCTCTTGAGGGTGGTCATGCTTCAGAAGGAGGGGTTTGAAAAGAGGCATTTCAAAGGTGTTCCTCTAGATGCACAGAAACAATGGTCAGGGCTTGTTTAAGGCAAAGAGAAACTTCTTTACTAAAGAAGTGATACCTGGGGAGTGACTACCCACCATGACTGCCCAGTGAGGAATTTGTGATCTGGTCACCCCTCTGAGGTTACTTTCTGCAGAACCCTTTCTTGTCCACATTAGGGTATCCAAGCTCGATGCCCCCAGGTACCCAGACTCTGCTGAGTCGCTTGACCAGAGAGTACTAGATATGTTCTTAGGAATATGGCCCCAAGTTTATCCTCTTCTTCCCTGGCCAGGCTGTGTGCTCAGGGATGACCAGACACTGGAGCAATAAAGGTCATAGTGTTGGTAGAAGGCTGCCCAGGGGGGCTGAAAGTATCTCACATAGACGGCTAACAGAAAGGGGAAGAGCTGGGGAAGGTATATCCATCTCCAAGAATTATGACCTTGGAGCATTGGAGCTGGAAAGAACTTACAGATCATCTAACCGAACTCTTCTATTTTATGGGTGAAGAAACTGAGGCCCAGCGTCGTAACTTAACCAA